TTATAGTTTTAGCTCCCTTTTCACCCATTTTGAGTTCATTTTTGTATATGATATGAGGCAGACATCCAATTTCACTCTTTTGCCTGTATTTATTCAGTTGTCCTAGCATCGTAGGTTGAAGACGCTATACTTTGCTAATTAAATGGTCTTGGCAGTCTTGTAAAAAAACAATTGACCATAACATATGGGTTTACTGTTAGACTCCCAGTTGTATTTCATTGATCTATAACCCTATCCTTATGCCAATACCTTGTTGTCTGGATGACTAACTTTTTAGTGAGTTTAAAATCAAGAAGTGTGAGTACTCAAATTTTATTGTTCTTTTTCAAGATTGTTTTGGTTATTCAGAGTCCCTTTAATTTCCATGTGGATTTAGGATCCACTTGTCAGTTTCTTCACAAAATATAGCTGGTGTTTTGATGAAGAGTATGTTGAATCTGTAGATCACTTTGGGTAGTATTGCCATCTTAACAATATTAAGTCTTCTAATCCAAGAACATGAATTTCTTTCTATTTATTTAGATCTTCTTTAATTTCTTTCATAGATAGTTTATAGATTTTAGTGTACAAATCTTGTAATTCTTTGGCTAAATTTATTCCTAATGCTGTATTCTTTTTGATGCAGTTTGAAATAGAATTATGTTTCAAATTTCATTTTAGGACTATATATTGCATTGTCTAGAAATACAGCTGATTTTTGCATATTGATCTTAAATCCAGAAACCCTAGATCTCATAAATGCATGCGTGTGTCTGTGTCTGTATGTGTATGTGTATGTGTATGCCTTAGTATTTTCTATACATAAGAACATGTCACCTAAATAGAGATCATTTTACTCCGTTTTTTCTTCTTCTTTTTCTTCTTTTTTTTACTCCTTTTTTTTCTTCTAATTTGGATGCCTTTTATCTATTTTTCTTGCCTAATTCTATACAATGTTGAATAGAAGTGGTAATAGTGAACATCCTTAACTTGTTCCTTATCTTAGATAGAAAGCTTTTGGTTTTTACATTAAATATAATGTTGGCTGTAAATTTTGTTCATAGATTTTCTTTATTAGGTTTAGTGCTTAGAGATAAATTTATAGCTGTAAATATATTTTTAAAGGAATCATTTCAAATAAAAAATCAAATCTTCTACCTTAAGAAACTTGAAAAAGAGGAGCAAACCAAACCCCAAACAAGCAGAAACAAGAAAATAAGAGTAATATTTGCCTCATAAAATAAGTAGGAAGGTGCTCTCTCCTATTTCATTTTTATGAAGTGTGCACGAAGGATTGGTTTTACATGTGTATGTTTGGTAGAATTTGCCAGTGAAGTCATCTGGTCTTGGTCTCAGTGGTTGCCCTGGGAATTACAATTAGGATATTAATTTATAGCAATCTACTTTAGGTTCAAATCAACTTAATTTCAGTAGTGTACCAAAAGATCTTTCCTATGTAGCTCCATTCCCTCCACCTTACTTTGTGCTGTTATTGTCATACAAATTACAACTTTGTACATTTTGTTTCCATCAACAGATTTATAATTATTGCTCCTGCAGTTATTTTCTTAATCAGTTAGGAGATTTAAAAAGAATTACAAACAAAAACCACATTTATCCTATTTTTATGTTTACCTATGTAGTTACCTTTACTAGTTTTCTTTATTTTTTCATGTGAATTTACACTACTATCAAATGTCCTTTTATTTCAACACAAAAATCTCTACTATTTTTTATAGGGCAGGTTCACCGATGATTAATTCCTTCTGTTTTTCCTTATCTGGAAATGTCTTAATTTTTCTTTTATTTTAGAAGGATAGTTTTGTTGCATGTAGGATTCTTAGCTGAAAGTCTTTTTCCTTTAGCACTTTGAATATTTCATCTCACTGCCTTCAGGCCTTCATAGTTTCTGATGAGAAATCAGTTGTTACTCCTATTGAAGATCCCTTATACAGACTGAGTTGCTTCATTCTAGCTGCTTTCAAGATTCCCTCTTTGTGTTGGCTTTTGATAGTTTGATTATGATGTGTCTGGATATTCATTTGGAATTTGTTAGCTTTCTTAAATTTGTAGATCAATATTTTTAATGAAATTTGGGAAATTTTTAGCTATTATTTTTCAAATAATCTATCTGTCCTTTACTCTTTACCCTCGCCTTCTGGGACACTCATTATACATATGTTGGTATAGTTGATGGTGTTTTACAGGTCTCTGAGACTGTTCAGTTTTCTTTGGTGGGGGCCATAGGCTCTTGCCCCTAAAGTTTACTAAAAATCACAGACATGAATCAGATTTATTAATAGGAGAAAAGGCACACAAATTTATTTAATATGTATACATGCTTCAGAATGAAGACCCAACTTCCCAATGAGTTATAGAAACTTATATACCATTTTGAAGTTACAGAAAGAGTAGGGGCTTAGATTCTGATTTTAGAAAAGGTTATAGGAGCAGGGAGAAGAGGTTTAGCAAACAAAGGTGGACTTTTTATGTAGATGAAGCCACCATCAAAGAGAATAGATGGTAAATGTTTCTTCTCAGACTTTTAAATGTGTCAGACTTTCAATCTCCTAGATCTGGGGAAAAGCATAGAAAGGGGAAGTGGCACAACTGCATTAGTGGAGATTCTCCACATTAATGCAAATGTTCCCCACTTAAGACAGCTTTGTAAGGCCATTTCTGCCTGCTGGCCAAGAGACTGACATTTCAAAATATGTCAAAGAACTATATTTTGGGAGAAAATATTTTAATTTCCTTCACTTTATTCTTTGTTATCTGTTGCTCAAACCAGACGATCTTAGTTGACAAATCTTTAACTTCACTGAATCTTGTGCCTGCTCCAATCTGCTGTTGAGCTCTTCTAGTGAATTCTTCATTTCAGTTATTTTCTTTTTCAACTCCAGAATGCCTATTTGGTTCTTTTTAAATAATTTCTTTCTCTTATTAGTATTCTTGATTTGGTGAGACATCATTCTTATGATTTCCTCTATAGATATGATTTCCTTTAGTTCTTTAAACATATTTAAATAGTAGATTTAAAGTCTTTCTCTATTAAGTCTAACATCTGGACTTCCTCAGGGAAAGTGTTTATTAGTTGCTTTTTTTCTTGTATAAGAGCCATTTTTTTTGTCTCGTCTCATATATTGTAATTTTTTTTTGAAAACTGGATGTTTTAAAAAATATAACGTGGCCACTCTGTATATTAGTTTCTTTCCCTTCCCCAGGGTTTGTTGTTGTCACTGTTTTTGCGGCTGCTTGTTTAGTGACTTTTCTGAAATAATTATGTAAAATCTGTATTCTTTGTTGGGGTGGACACTGAAGTCTCTGCTGAGTTAGCTTAGGGGTCAGCTAATAATTGAACAGATTTCTTTAAATGCCTAGAATCAATAAATCTCCTAGCCTTTGCTGATGGGCTCTGTGTGTGTGTGTTGGAGCATGCCTTCAACAGCTGGTCAGGCAAATTACAACTCTACCTTATTCTTTACTTCCTGCTTGTGCAGAGCCTCAAGGTCAGCCAGAGGCAAAAGCTTAGGGACTTTTCAGGCCTTTCCTGAGTATGCACACAGTCCTATGCATCCCCACAGTTACACATGTGTATGCTCTTCTAGATTCCAAGAAATATAATGGAGCTTATTCACACTCATTTCGCAGCTTTTCCTTTTTTTAAGAGACAGAGTCTCACTCTGTTGCCTAGGCATGATCTCAGCTCACTGCAACCTCTGCCTTAGGCTCAAGTGATTCTCATGTCTCATCCTCCCAAGTGGCTGAGATTACAGGCATGCAGCACCACGCCTGGCTAATTTTTTTTTTTTTTTTTTTTTTGTATTCTTAGTACAGGTGGGGTTTCGTCATACTGGCCAGGCTGGTCTCATACTCCTGGCCTCAAGTGATCCACTTGCCTCCCTTAGCCTCCCAAAGTGCTGGGATTACAAGTGAGAGTCACTGAGCCTGGCCTCTCAGCTTTTCCTTTTAAGCTTCCTGGTAAGCCTATTTTTTTCCTCAATTGTTATCTACTAACTCCCTGCAGCTCTGAAATTAAACAATGGTTTCTTATTGTTCCATGCCCCTAGGGAAAAGGCTATTTACACTGGACCATCTCCAAGTTAGGTCAAATAAAGATAGCTTTGTAAGTGGTGTTTCAAGTAATCACCAGACTATTTAAATAATGAAACTCCTCTCGGAATGAAATAGGTGTTAAAGGAGCTCCAGCCCTATTCTGCCCCTTATGGTGTCTGCCAGGCTACTGGGTTTTCACTGCAATTGTGCACTCTTGGTTTTCAAGGCTGCCATGGAGCTGGGGATGAGAGCCGGGGGAACAGTGGATAGGCACAGGGCAAGTTAAAATGCTACAAAGCTCAGTGTTCGAAGTTTCAGCCATTTGTTTCTGTTGTTATTTTATAAATTCTCCAGGATTGTTGCAACACTTTCGTTAATTTCCAGAGTTTTGATAAAGTTGCTTCTAACCATATTTGCCAATTTATCATCACTTTTATGCAGAAGAGAATCTTATCCTTCATTTTAATGAGGAGAAAATGACAGGTTCTTACTCATCGTTTTACTGCCATCACCCCCTAACTAAGAAAGTTTTTGGGAAATTGAAGTGGCCTTTTACGCTCTGAAGTCAGAGTGTAAGGTAGGTTGGCTTTTTAATGCCACGTAAGTCATTAATGGAAAAAGGATCTCATGGAAATCTAAGAAAAGGAATCCATGGATCTGTCTTATCCCTCATTAGACAGAACTTTCCACATTAGGGCACCTGACACGCTGCTTCCCAGCCTTTGAATTATCTACCCGCAAGCTGTATGCCTCTGTAGCTGTGGAGATGATATGCTATAACAGAAGGCTGCCTAAGATTTGCACTGTAAGCAGAAACTCTTCACAGGAAGGTTTCCATGTGAGGGTCTATTGGGTTGGGGGGTGGGGAATAAGGTACAATATACATTTCTCCCTGTGTGGCCTATAATGTTTTTGTTGTACATAATGGTGTCTGAAAAATTATGATGAACACTTATTTATTTCAGTGGAAGATATAATCCAGCTAAGCAGAAGACAGTGAGTGCCAAGAGAGGACCAGTAAAAAAGATTACAAGATCAAATCATCTTCCAGAACTCCATCCATGATTCCAGAACTGGGTGGATTTCTATTTCTTCCTTTTTCCATTTATAATACTCAACTTATGAAGTTAATGGTCAGCACATTTCTTCAGGGAATAAAATAGATAAGAACTGCCAAATTTTTCTTTAGCTCCTTTTCCAGATGTGTGTTCCTTTGTTTGCATAAAAGTAATTTTCTCCAGTGACCCTAAACTATGAAGTGCTTGAGAGTTTTAAAATATCCTAGGGAATCTGAAGGCTGGCATCGTTACATTTACTTTTCATGGTACACCCATGATCTGCTCTGATAGAAACATTTCTATTCTATTTGGTTTCTAGTTGACTGTCAGCGAAAAGTGTGTATTCATAAAACCTTTTTGCTATTTTGGGCTGGATCTTGCTCAGTTTTTTAAATTTCAGGTTTAAACAAAGTCAAAAATCAAGTCCATTTTAAGTTTTGACTTGAACTCTTATGGTATTGTAGAACAACCTTAGATCACAAATAAACTTGCCGCTCTGCCATGAACTTAGGAGATCTTGGGCAAGTCCCTTCACCTCTTGTTTATTTCCCACACCTGTAAAATGACTGAGGCAAAACTATACACTTTCTGAGGTTTTTTACAATTCTAGAAAACCAGTATTTATTCAATCATAAGGTCCTACCACTTACTTAGCACTAGTGATTTAAGTCATTTTGTGACGTGTGGTAATTCATAGTGATGGACTAATTCTTTAGACCAAACTGCAATTGTTCACAATACTCAAGTCCAGACGTGGAGATAGAATGAGAATAAGAAAAGAGTTCTTTTGAGGCATTTATAAAATGTATTGAATCCTCTCATTCGTGGTTAGACTGTTTTTGTCTTTTAGATAGTTTTTGTAACTGTCACCTAGGTCCGGAACATGTAACTTGTTTGTCCACTTTAATAAGTGAAATCATTGGACTTCAAATTTATAGAAATCACCTAGAGGTAAGTATAGTTTCCAGCTAATGGTGTTCTCATCCTGTATCTGGCACTAAACCTAAATTCAATTCTGTATCACCAGGAATGAATACCAAATGCATTTCTGTAACTACTTCTATAAAAGTTTATTTTCTTTCTTTAAGGAAGAATATATAAATTTCATATAGCCAAAAATATTTTAAGTTACTTTAAAATGTAATGTGGAAAAATATAGCTTTCTATAAATCATTCTACATTGGAATTATTCATAAATATTTTCCCCTATTATTTAGCTAACTATTGATATTAGGTGCCTTGACCCATATCATTAGACAAATATTAGATTTTTATGTCTTATACCATCTTTCTCAGCATTAGTAGAATATTAATAATTAAAATAATAATTATAGGATGGGTGTGGTGGCTCACACCTATAATCCTAGTACTTTGAAAGGCCAAGGCAGGCAGATCACTTGAGTCCAGGAGTTTGAGAACAGCCTGGCCAGCATGGCAAAACTTGTCCGTACTAAAAATAGAAAAAATACAATTAGCCTGGAGTGGTTGGGCACGCCTGTAATCCCAGCTACTCGGGAGGCTGAGGCACGAGAATCACTTGAACCCGGGAGGCAGAGGTTGCAGTGAACTGAGATCATGCCACTGCACTCCAGCTTGGGAGACAGAGCAAGACTCTGTTTCAAAAAAAAAAAATCATTATTATAATAATTATAATTATCAATGAAAAATAAACACATTTTTTCCTTTCATACAGAGCTAAGCTATTGTAGGGACTATTGAGGAACATTTAAAGTTATCTCAATCACTGGGATAAAATATTAGTTGAACATCTTATCACAGGGACTCTTACATTTAAGTGTTGGTTCTGCAAGAGCTACTTTGGGATACTTTTCAGATGCCATAAAACGTCTGTATTAAACAGAATGATGGAATGTTGAGAGAGTATAAAGAACTGAAATGAGGGACTGCAGGATCTGTATTCTAATACAGTTTTGCCACTTATAAGTTTCTGACTTTGGTAAATAACTTTTCATATCTTCAGTTTCATCCTTTATAATTACTGCCTTGAGATTGCTGTGCAGATAAAGGGTACTTACCATGTATTTATTTCTTTACTTCTTTATAGCCTCTTTCCCACTAGAAGGGATGTGAGTTAGCTTTTACTAATATAGAGGTATCAAAAAATACCTACAAGATAAAAGATGAAAATAAAAATTAAAATTTAGCAAGAATTTCCAACCAAGAAAAGTTTTAGTTTTAAGCTTTCTACCAGTCAGTGCAAAGAAGCAATGACTGCTTTCCTCTGTAGAAGGAATATACAAGTAGAGAAGAAGTTTTATCTAATTCTAAGCTCTGAAAATAATTTTGTCATAAAGAAAATGCAATTACTGGCCGGGCATGGTGGCTCACACCTCCTGTCACTTTGGGAGGGTGAGGCAGGTGAATTGCTTGAGCCCAGGAGTTCCAGACCAGCCTGAGCAACATGGCAAAACCCCATCTCTACAAAAAATACAAAAATTAACCAGTTGTGGTGACACATGCCTGTAGCCTAGTACTCAGAAGGCTGAGGTGGGAGGATCACTTGAGCCAGCCCAGGAGGTTGAGGCTGCAATGAGCCACTGTACTCCAGCCTGGGCAACAGAGTAAGACCCTGTCTCAAAGAAAAAGAAAAAAAATCTAATTACTTGATGCAATAACTGCAGCAAAAATGACAGTTTAGGGTCTTTGATACTCAAATATGTATTGACTTGAGTAGTTGTTTTCTTTCATTGGAAAGTTCAGAAATCATAAAGCAAAACCATCAGTAAAACAACATAAAAAAATTTAAGATATCTAAATGTATTACAAAATATCAAGACATACCATTTTTAAAAACAAATATTGCCATAATAAAAAAGACAGATCATGAGTATTGACATGAGTGTGAAGAACCTGGAACCCTCATATGTTGCTGGTGGGGATGCAAAGTGATACAGCCACTTTGGAAAACTGTCAGTTTCTCAAAAGGTTAAACATGGAGTTACTATATGACACAGCAAGTCTCTTTGGTATATGCCCAAGAAAAATGGAAACCTATGTCCACATAAAAACATGTACAGGAAGGTTTGTGGCACCATTATTCAAATAGCCAAGCAGTGGAAACAACCCAAATGTTCATCAGCTGATGGCTGGGTAAATAAAATGCAGTATATTCCAGCAATGGATATTATTTGGCAGTAGAAAGGAATGAAATGCTGATATATGCTACAACATGGGTAAACCTTGGAAACATTATCCTAAGTGAAATAATGGAATAACAAAAGACCATATATTGCATAATTCCATTTATATGAAATGTCAAAAAATAGGCAAATCCATAGAGACAGAAAATAGATCGGTAGTTGCTGAGGGTTGGCAGAAGGGTCGGTGATGGAGAATGACTGCTGATGGGTACAGGATTCCTTTTTGAGGTGATGAAAATGTTCTAAAATTGATTGCAGTGACAGTTGCACAACTCTGTGAAAGTAATGAAAACTATTGTATACTTTAAATGGGTTAATGGTATGTTTTGTGATTTATACCTCAGTAAAGTTGTTGTAAAAATGTTAAATATAAGTTATTTTAATATTAATTAGTAAATAAATGTTAGTGAAATATTTGATCTTTCTCAAAAATATGATCCTAAAAATACAAAAATGCATTATCACTAGTGCTATTACTGGGTATAGAGCTTACTTTTTATTTATTTGTGTGTGTATGTGTATGTGTGCGTGTGTAAAAACACAATAAACTAGTTGGAACATCTGCTTTGTCAGCATATTTGTACCTTCTCTGCCCTTATTCATGTTCTATTCACATCTCTTCAAACGGTCCCCTCTTAAAAGAAGAATTGGACCCTTTAGTGGTCAGCTGCTTGGAGACATTGGGTTTCAGTGCTGCTGGTGTGGCTGGACCAGAGAACAGGACATGCCTTGGAAAAAAAGCTCTCTGGCGGCCGGGCATGGTGGCTCATGTCTGTAATCCCAGCACTTTGATAGGCCGAGGTGGGCGGATCACGAGGTCAGGAGATCGAGACCATCCTGGCTAACATGGTGAAACCCCTTCTCTACTAAAAATACAAAAAAATTAGCCAGGCGTGGTGGCGGGCGCCTGTAGTCCCAGCTACTTGGGAGGCTGAGGCAGGAGAATGGCGTGAACCCAGAAGGCAGAGCTTGCAGTGAGCTGAGATGTGCCACTGCACTCCAGCCTAGGCAACAGAGCAAGACTCCCTCTCAAAAAAAAAAAAAAAGCTCTCTGGCCCGCCTGCTTACATGGGTCCTCAACCTTGGCTGTGTGTCAGACTCACCTGAAGAGCTTAAAGTAAAATACTCAGACATGTGCACCACCCCCAGGATTGTGATCTCACATGTATTTCTTTAAGCCTCCCCCCAGGAAATTGTGCAGAAAAGATTGGGACCCACTCTGCTGGTTCAGTGTGGCTCCATCTCTCAAACTGAATGACACTTCTTCCAACTCTCCTCAAGCTGACTTCACCGTGGTCTTTTTATTTTTACTTTTTTACGGTGAGAGATAAAGATTTTATTTTTTCTTTGTTGTTATTTATTTCAATTTTTATTTTAGATTCGGGGGTAGCCGTGCAGGTTTGCTACCCTGGTATATTGTGTAACGGTGAGATATGGGGCACAAATAATCCTATCACCCAGGGACTGAGCATAGTAGCCACCAGTTGTTTGTCAACGTTTGCTCTCCTTTCTTCCTCCACCCTCTAGTGTTCCCCAGTGTCTATTGTTGCTATCTTTATGTCCATGTGACCAGTGTTTGGCTATCACTTGTAAGCAAGAACATGCAGTATTTGGTTTCCTGTTCCTGTATTAATTTGCCTAGGAAAATAGTCTGTAGCTGCATCCATATTGTTACAAAGGACATGATTTCATTTCTTTTATGACTGTACAGTATTCAATGGTGTATATCAGGAGTCCCTAGTCTCTGGCTGTGGACTGTTACCTGTCCATGGCCTGTTAGGAACTGGGCTGCCCAGCAGGAGGTGAGCTGCAGGCGAGCAAGCATTACCACCCAAACTCCACCTCCTATCAGATCAGCAGCAGCAGCATTAAATCCTCATAGGAGCACGAACCCTGTTGTGAACTGTGCATGTGAAGGATCTAGGTTGCACACTTCTTATAAGAATCTAATGCCCGATGAGAATTTAACTAACGACTAATCTGAGGTAGAACATTTTCATCCCAAAACCATCTCCTCCCAACAATGCAGTCTGTGGAAAAATAGTTTTGCATGAAACCAGTCCTTGGAGTCAAAAGGGTTGGGAACCACTGGTGTATATGTAGCACGTTTTCCTTATTCAATCCACTGTTGATGGGTACCTAGGCTGATTCTATGTCTTTACTATTGTGAATAGTGCTGCGATGAGCATGCAAGTGCATCTGTCTTTTTAGTAGAAAGATTTGTTTTCTTTTGGATATATATACCCAGTAA